GACAAGCAGCCCGAAATCGCTGTCTTACTGGCATCTATCCTTGGATATTCGCAGGAGTTAAGTTAACATCAGTTTTGTTTTTGGCCAGTTCAGATGACGATTTGTGGTTATTCTAAAATGTTTGTGATATTTATTTTCTTACGCATTCCAACCGCCGCTTTTACTTATTGTCAAAAATTTACGGTGCTTTTAGGATATTGCAAAAATATGCGCTGCAAATCAAAATCCTTCGAGGGGATGGTTTGGTTTCAGCAGCTCAACAAGACCTTCGCAGCAGAGCGTCTCTCTCGCAGAACAGTTTGTCCGTTTTCTTGAGAAAGAATCGGTCACACGACCCCATTCTCTTCCGGTGCAGGTTTGTTGTTGAACTTTTTGATAAACAACAAGAAATAAACAGTGTAGACGTTGCGCACGAAGGAAATGAACAAACAGTAAAATGTGAGGTTTTTTTCCAAGTGCCTTATCATTTCGAGACACAGGGGTTGCGGCTTCGCGTATGGGCATGAAAACACTAATTCATGGAAATTTTCTGCCGCCTAGCTACTGAAGTTAATTTTTATCTAGAATTGCAGGATTCTCAGATCTCTATATATGCGACTGGCGACAGGGTATTCACGCGTGCTAAAGCAGCAAAACCACTGAAAAAAAGCAGACATGCGGACTAAAGATATTTTGTGTGCCTCAGCTGTAAATGTTAAAATTTTTTTCCCCCCGGACATATTACCTTTAGTAATTGGTAATCTCCCTCTTCATTCTCGTGCCTTTCACAGATGCTTTTGACGTCGCCACACTACGTAGGGATCAGCTTGTTGGTGATGCTGGCGTTTGATTTTTTCCGTCTTCTTTCATCGTATTCTCTCTAGCACATACGACGTCTGCTAGGACGCTTTGTCGCGCCTCTTCACTTGTAAAGAACATGTGCTGGAACGTTATCGTATAGGAGTCCACAAAATTTGCCGCGCTCTGATTGCGGAAATGTGAGAAGTCAAATGAGGAGGTGATTACATAATGCTCCTTGAATAAGCGAAGTGTTTAAAGAATGTTGTGCTAGAAATGAAAATCGCAGAAGAGGGGAACTATTGC